ACAAGCTGACTTAAATTTTGTGATTAAATTTACAAAAGAATATTTGAATAAAATAATTTTTTATTTTGTCGATGAAACAAATCACAAATAAATTTACACCCCTATCAGATCTATACTATAATAAAACTGTAGTTTGTTTGTCTGTTTGAACTCACTAATCTACTAGTGGATTTTCTTGGGGGTTTAACTGGTATATAGAGACTGATCTCGGACGTAACCTAGGGTATAAAAAGATTCAAGAAGAAGATTCCGCACTCTCGGCAAACCTCGTAATACTTGCAGATACCTCACAGGTAGAAATAAGAGCTCATAGGATCGAAGGAGATTAGTACTTAACCCAAATGTTATTTCAGCGCTATTATTCTTGGCCTATGAATAAGCAAGGTTCTGCTCTTCTGTCCTTTGAACCTAAACTAATAATTTTTATACCCGAGCTCACTTGTGCACAAGGGTATATTAATTTTGTTCACATAACGGTTGTTTGTAACAGCCAAAACGAATCGAGATAGATATAGACAAATGTATACATAAATACTCAGAATGAATAGAGAAATCGATTAAGCCATGTCTGTCTGTCCGTCCGTCTGTCCGCCTGTCCGTCCGTCCGTGTACACGATAACTCGAGCAAAAATTGAGATATCTTAACGAAATTTGGTGTGTACTTCCCATATAACGGTAATTTCCAGAAATAAATACGAAAACTGCAATATTTTAGTAACTACTGAAGATAATTCACTCAAAATTTATATTTACAATAATTTTCAGACGAAAAATAAGAATATTATAAATTTTTGAAAAATGGGCGTAGCCACGCCCACTTATGGTTACATGTGTGTATCTTGGTAACCGCTGCACCAATTTCTTCCAAACTTGGCACAGTTGTTGGCCTTGGTACAGCATACTAAATGGCCGAAAATTTAAAAAATCGGACAATAACCACGACCACATCCCATATAACGGTAATTTAGAGAAATACAAAATCTTCGATAAATCAAGAAATTATAAAGCTAATTTATTGAAAATTGATGCTTGCAACAATTCTTTACCAAAAAATACGTTTATGGTAAAATTTGGGAAAATGGGCGTGGCACCGCCCACTTATGATCACATATATGTATATCGGTAACCGTGTTACCAATTTGTACCAAACTCGGTATTTTGATTGTGCTTCCCACATAAAAGCAAAACGTTGAAAAGTATTGAAATCGGACTAAAATTACGGCCGCTTTTCATATAACGGTAAATTTCAGAAATGCTTGAAACTGCAATATTTCGAAATTTAAGGACGCTAATTTACTCAAAATTGATACACCCCGGGTTACCAACTAGCTACATATTTTTGCATTGGTCAATGCAAAAGTTCTTATAAGCCGTCGCGAAGCAAGCCAGGCATTTGCTAGTCGCAAATAAAATTTATTTTTAATTTTAACGACAGTCCAATCACAAACCAAATAGATTCCTTAATTAAAAGCGGATGAAAAACCAAAAAATATTTTAAATCACGCAACCCTGGTGCGTTCTTAGCAGAGCAATTTCCCTTTCTTCTTTGCTTCGGAAAATGTACCGTCTCATAGTTCCCGCTATAGGTCCGATTCCACTGTTCCTCTGGCTAGTGCTTTGTGTAGCCCTGCGGCTGGAGTATTGAACAAAGCTTCGCGGATGGTTCTGAAACTCCCTCTCTCGCTTAGACTATGTGATTTCTGACCTTATTGAATAGCGGTGGGAAAGAGGCAATTGGCGAAGATTTTTAGTACATTAATATACATAAATATATTTTCCTCTTCCGAGTTTTTGGAGTTTAAGGTAATATTCAAAATATTACTTTTGAAGTAACATTTAGACCAAAAGGGAAAGGACTTGCTCACATGGCTGTTCCAATTGACGTCAGTTGGCACAGAAGAGTCGCTTCTCTTCGTTGGACTCGGCCAAAACCGCGGTTACAGGCGGTCAAAGCGCTCAATAAGAAGAAAAAGTAGCATTTAATTAAACACAAAATATATGCATATTCAAATTTCCAGAACTGTTTCTAATGTGTTCCACAATCAGAAAACTGGGCATGAATCACGTAACTTTGAAACGATAGTCGTTCAAACGATACTGACTAAACGATGTTGTCAAAACACTTATTCATGTATTTGTGTTGCTGTTACTGTTACGTGAAGCAAAATTGGAATCGAGTTGACGATATCGCACAAACGATTAAACATTTTTTGGTTTTCATGAAGCAAAACAATCTCAACACGATATCGTCCAGACGATTGTCGTCATACGTGACTCATACCCAGGCTATTGTCTCTTCAGCCGATTAACACATCTGCTTTTTAGTTACGTGTCCTTATTATCTTGTGCCCTTAAAAAAATATTATTCATATAACATTTATTTTAATACACTATGTTTTTAGCTCGCGAGAAATTTTCCCATTGCATGACGAAGTTGAGTGGCGAATATATGAATGAGAAAATCTGCAAATACATTATGTCTGCATCCACTGAAACGGATAACAACGATAATCCCTTGGAATGGTGCCAGAATCATGATTTTCAAGTATCTAAGCGACCACAACGCGGTCCGCCGCTACTACAGGAAATAGTGAAGACCATAGAGAACACGCCATGCCTTAAACCACAACCGGAAACACTGAAGCGTGCTTCACTCATTCGAAGCTCGAATACGTCACTTGCATCATTGTTGTCGCGTCGCAAAGATCCCTGCCCGATACGCATACATGAGCCCGCGCTGGGTATACTCACCACACTGGCCAATCTGAAACACATCGCCAAGGGCCAGTATGCTGATGTGCACAGCAATCTTAGTGGTATGCACGCGAATTTGGACAACAGGTCACGTCAGTACTTGCAGCATACACGCGGCTTTGAAGAATGTCTTCACTACGTGTTAACTTACGGATCGCACACCGATGTGATGCAATTCCTAATGCGACACCATGAACTCAACGCTGCACTAAAATACTATCTGCAACAAAATCTTGAATCAGAATTGTTCATTCAAAACATTTTTCTCGTATCGCTTCGTTACGGTGAGGTATCCGCATTGATGGAGCATATGCAAAAGTTGGACGCAAGTTTATCGTTTTGGCGTGCTACATTGTTGCAGACATGTCACTATCTGGAAACGCAGAATCTTCTCAACTCACTTTACCAGCTGCAGTTGTTGTTGCAAGATCCGGTACGTGCCGCCATGACTTGTGTGAGATTCTATTCCGCGAACTGTGACAACTTCCAGCAGCTGCAGGCGAATGCAATGCATTTGCATAATGCGCAACAACATTTACAATCTCAGCTGGAGTTAACCGAGTGGGATAAAGTGAGTCTGGAGCCCTTGCAGCGCAAAAGAAACAGTTCCATCGGCAGTCGACGCTCAAGTGTGGCGTCTAGGGCGAACACGCCGTCTATGCATTCAAACTTTTTAATGGAAATGGATGCGCGTGCACTGAACAGTCACATTAATACGATATCAATGCAATTAGAAGTGACAAAATTTCTGGCACATTGTGAGATAGAGATGAGCGTAGCAGACGAACCCATTACTTTGAAAACATTGAAACAGGTAATCAAGTAGAAGGTGAATGTATTTGAATTCCTAAAGCTAAATATCACTATTTCAGATTCGCGTTGATAGCACAGGCAAGTTCAAGCTGCCAACACTATTTGATGCACTTCCAGATCGAATACAAATTTGCATTCTAATTTTATTATGTGGCAAAAATATCGACGAGGGATTTGGTTTGACGTATAGGTGAGTGGTGGTGCTTAACGTTTAGTGCATCGCTTTTAACTCAATATTACTTTGACAGGATTATTCATTATTACAAATTGCCCGACGTAAAAGTTTTTGCAGCAGCTGCCAAATTTCTTGCCTGCAATCAGCGCATTGGCGAAGTGGAGAAGCTCATAAGCTGCATAACTAGCAACAATGGCATCAAAACTCGCGACATTGATGAAATTCTCTCGGCTGCCATCAATTCGGCATCCAATAGCAACGAGGCAGAAGTAAAAACTGCACTTGATAATCTCGCTAAAAAAATTCACAGTGTGGAATTGCGCATATCTTGTCACATATTCATTGGACAGTTGAAATCCGCTTATCTTTTAGCGAATAAGTATGAACGTATTGGAGATATACGGCGCATACTTCGGCAAGCCGAACTAACGAATCAGGTGCACATAAAGAAATTATGTGAAAGAAAGTTAAGTTTCAACGCCTCACCGCGCGAGTGATTTTAACCTTGACTGACTAGTAGAAGAAGTATATGCCCGCTTATGCGTATTTCTGTATTTTTAAAAGGAATTACTTGTTAGATATTTACATACATTATGTGATTTTATGCCCATCTCATTGTAAGTTTTACCCAATTTATACCTACATACATACATATAATATATTATCCAAAATAAAGTTGAAGAAATTTTATATGACCATATTCTAATTGTGCCATAATGTTAAGCGCAAGAAAATTGACGTTTATGATCTGATTATGGCAACTTAACGTAACTTACAGACTCTCACTTAAAAATTTTCTTCAATGGATGTTGCTTATAATTGAACAGCCGAAACTTAACGTAACTTAATGCCACGTCGAAATTCATTTTGATTTTCAAAGTTCTAAGTTCCGTTAAGTTGCCATAATCAGGCTTTTAGACGCAAGTGTTCTGTGATATGCGTTCACAATCCAGAGATATGTAAGGCATGTGAAAAAATAAAGTCGGAATTTTTATGCTCTCACCCCTAGGATTGTTCTATACCGAAAAAAGTATACCCCTATTTTTTATTTTAAAATCAAAATATATATAGCACTCAAAGTTTTCTATGTATTTTTAAATGGGAAAAAAGCAACTTTTCGTAGAAATGGTATAGAATACTTGAAAATAAATATTTTTCGATCGGAAAACTCTTGTTCGCTTCAATAATAGTACCCAATTATTTATTTAACCATTTTTTAATACTAACGATTTTTGCAGCGCTTTGAGCGACCTCTTGATATTTTGTGATAAAAAAATAGGGTTATACTTTTTTCGATATAGAACAATCCTAGGGGGTGAGAGCATTACAATTCCGACTTTACTGTTATTGGACCACCCTAATGCACATACGTATGCAAATCAGTAATGCTCATAGAGAGCTTTACTCTGTACGCGTCCATATAAAATCGCCGACGCTATTTTGAGCATCACTGCAGTGAATAGCCATTTAAATACCACACGATGTAGAGAACAAATGTGGCCCATCTCGTACCGCTATTCCGCTCTCGGTAAATTTGATAGAATCGCTGTTTGTATGACGTCACACTTGTGCAACTTGTTTACGTTTTTCTTGCAAAATTTCTTCTTGTATTCATGTTCGCGTTTTGATATTTCTCGCTCAAGTGCACCAGTGTGACGTCACACAAAAATTGTTCTCAAAAATCCTCTCTAATGGGTGCAATCTTGTATTCTATCATTCTTATATTTACCCAGCTACAGTATCTCTCCCGTAATTGCGCCAGACTTATGCGGTTTTCTCGAAACAGCTGAAGCGCTTCGTCTTCGATTCACGTTCGTAAGGTCTAACGTACGCTTGTGGTTGTTGTTGGTCAGCTGAAAAAGTTAAGTGACATTTTGTCGAGTTTTGACAATTTGTCTTTTGTTCATTCATGTAGTGTTTATTATTTCTTATAAAAGTGCAGCACATTATTCAGGGTGTCCTAGACCACCCGTCCACCCCCTATAAAATGAATTGAAAAACGCAAAAATCTTACCTACCAAATCAGGGACCGGAAAGTAATTTTCTTAAATTAGACATATGTATATGTTGTAACCACAGATTCGGATTCTGCGCATAAAAATACATAACTTTAGCCGGAAACTTTTTTTTGGAATGGACTCCCGGTTAAAACAATGGACTTCCGATCGGTTTAACTCACTTCCGGTCTAAACCGGAAGTCGGTAATACGTCTATAGAGCATCCTCGACTTGGGAATTCATAGTTGTTCGTATTTCAATAAGAACATTTTCACTCATCTCAGTTGAAGTTCGAAGACCATTTATAGGCCTATTTTGGGCTCGAATCGTCACATACGATATCGTATTACTGGTCACGTAAAAGCACATTTTTCGGATTATGGCATACGTGAACGTACTCTTTTTCCCATTCAGCTTATACTGCCCAACGTATCATGTAATTTTCTTTCGTATGGTTTTCGATCTGTGAACGGATGTTACGATTCGAGCCCTGCATTGGTAACAAAAATTTTGTTACCGGTAAATATAGCTCCTGCGAACTTTTAACCCGTTTTCGCATTGTGCGCATGGTAAATATTGTTATCATCTCATAAGCATTACCCGTGAAATATGCAACACCAGAATTTATACAAAACTTGAATTACTGAATATATTAAGAGGTTACCAAGTTACTTAGAATAGCTTTTACAAGAAGTGGTGACATTTATTGATAACAAAATTTCCCGCTAACAAAATGTTCGGTAACAAGCAGAATAGACCGAGAAAAAAGTTCCGAACAAAAATACGTATTTTTATCCTTAGACTCCGAATCTGTAGTAAAAACATATATGTATGTCTTCTTCTTATTTGGCACTGTAACAGCCCAAGCGATTTTGGCCCAGTTCAACAAAGCACGCCAGTCGTTTGTTTTCGGTGCCAACTGACGCCAATTGGAAATGCCAAGTGAAGCCAGTCTTTCTCCATCTGGTCTTTCCATCGCAGTGGGGGCCTCTTCCTTTGCTACCATCAGCGGGTTCCGAGTTGACTACTTTCACAGCTGGAGCGTCGGTGTCCATTCGAACGACGTGGCCAAGCCAGCGGCGCCGCTGTATTTTAATTATCTGCACTATGTTCATATCGTTGTAAAGCTCATACAGCTCATCGTTCCATCGTCTGCGGTACTCGCCGTCGCCAACGCGTAAAGGCCCGTAAATCTTCCGCAAAATCTTTCTCTCGAATACTCCAAGAGCCGCCTCATCGGATGTTGTCATTGTCCACGCTTCTGAGCCATATATTTACCAGCACGGGCATGATGAGTGACTTATAGAGTGTGGTTTTCGTACGTCGAGAGAGGACTTTACTCCTGAATTGCCTACTCAGTCCAAAGAAGCACTTGTTGGTAAGAGTGACTCTGCGTTGGATTCCCATGCTGACATTATTATCGGTGTTAATGCTGGTTCCCAAGTAAACGAAATTCTCTACTTTCTCGAAATAATAACTGTCAACAGTGACGTGGGTACCAAGGCGCGAATGTGCTGACTGTTTGTTTGATGACAGGAGATATTTCGTCTTGTCCTCGTTTACCACCAGACCCATTCGCTTTGCCTCCTTATCTATCTTGAAAAAGGCAGAAAAGACTTCGCGGTTCTTGTTATCGATGATGTCGATGTTATCGGCGCACGCCTGAAATTGCACGTTCTTATAGTAAATTGTTCTGATCTCTCGCGGGTCTTACCCAAGATTTGACGCATTGTGAATACCTGGTCTATGTTGGATTTGCCAGGTCTGAAGCCACACTGATAAGGTCCAATCAGTTCGTTGACGGTGGACTTCAGTCTTTCGCACAATACACTTGATAAGACCTTATAACCTACGCTTAGAAGGCTGATCCCGCGGTAGTTGGCGTGAATAGCGGGGTCGCATATTTTGATGCATACACCTTCTCAACTCCTCGCCGCCTCAGCTGGCAGGCTGTCAGCTCCAGCAGCTTTGTTGCTTTTCATCCGCGTTATTGCTATTCGTACCTATTCAAAGTCAGGCGGAGGAACATCGACTTCGTCATCATCATTCTCCACAACTTTCCAAGCTGCTACCATTCAATAGGGAGGAGAAATGTTCCCTCCATAATTTAGGTACGTTGTGAACATCGCAAACTAGGTTGCCATTGTTGTTCTTACAGGAGTACGCCCTGGTCTTGAAACCTTCCGTAAGTCGCCTAACTCTCTGGTAAAATTTTAGGGCATTCTTCCTGTCGGCCAGCATTTCAAGCTCTTCCTGACACTCCTCATCGTACCAGTTGTTCTTTCGGGCTCGCTGAAATCCGATTACTTCTTCTGCGGCGGTAATTAATGAGCGGAAAATGTGGTTCCACTGCTCGCACATGTCGGTTCGTTGAAGAGGGCTATCTGAGAGCAGAAGTGAGAGTCGAGTTACGAATGCATTGGCTGTCTGATGTGATTGCAGCTTTTCGACGTAAGGCTTTCCTTGCATATTTGGGCGCACATTTTTTTCTGCGCAAAGGCGGGTGCGTATCTTGGCTGCAACAAGATAGTGGTCCAAGTCGATGTTTGGCCCTCGGAGCGTACGTACGTCCAAAACGTTGGAAGCATGCCTTCCATCTATCACAACATGACCGATTTGATTTCTTATTTTTTCGATCTGGATACAGCCACATTGCTTGATGGCTCTTTTTATGCTTGGAGTACTGCATACTACCATGTTTCGGGCCCCGGCGAAGTCGATCAGTCTCAGTCCGTTGTCGGACGTTTCGTCGTAGAGGCTGAATTTTCCGACGGTGGTTCCAAAGATTCCTTCCTTGCCCACCCTGGCATTGAAGTCGCCAAGCACGAGTTTGATATCGCTCATAGAAGTGATCCTTGGATACCTCATTCTTCTCTTCCGTCGGGGCATGGGATCAGATGAGCGAGGTGTTGAAGAATTTCGCTTTGATGCGGATTATAGGTAGACACTCGTCCACCGGGGTGAACGATAGTACTCGGCGACGGAGTCTCTCTCCCACCACAAATCCAACACCGAATTTGCGCTCCTTTACATGGCAGCTGTAGTATACGTCGCAAGGCCCCAGACATTGCTTGCCTTGCCCCGTCCAACGCATTTCTTGGATGGCGGTGATGTCAGCTTTCGCTCTTACGAGGACATCAACCAGCCAGACAGAGGCACCTTCCCCATTAAGGGTCCGGACATTCCAGGTGCATGCCCTCAAATCTAGTCCTTTAATCGATTGCCGTGGTCGTCATCAAAAGGGGGGTTCTCATCCGAGGCTTTGTTTCTCTTTTTCATTGGAGCCTGTTTTTACGTGGCGGGTCCCAAACCCAGCGCACAACCCATTGTTGGGACGGGGGTGGTTTCATAACCGAATACACGTTTATAAAGCGGGCCGCTTGCTCCAAGACAGACACCCACTTGCAGCCGCACCTACTGGTGAACAGACGCTGCAGACTTCAGTGAGCCCTTAAACCGAATAAGTCGGAGTGGCCCCACCAAAGCTCCCTCTCTTTCTGCCGTGACCCAAGGCTCAACTCGGATTAGTTACCACATCTCGCACATGGCTGCTCACGTTACCCAGAGTGCGCGAACGAGGACGCAAGAGTCGGGATTGAGTACAGCCGTTCAACAGTAACTGCATACCCAGCACAACGACTATACCCTATTGCCCTCCACCATGTACACTGCCGGAATTTTTTTGTTGAAGGTGTTTTGCATTTTTTCCATATAAAGTATTTTCGAAAAAAAAAAAATTATGGAAGAGACTGCGTGAAAAAAAATTGCCAAAAACCAACGGTAATTCCTAGCTACTTAAAACTTACACTTTATTATAATAAAATTGATTGGGCTACAAATCTGCATACTCAAAAGTTCTAAAAAATCTGATTAAAAATTTGAAAATTTGCGAGTTTTTCACAAAGTTTAGAAATTATATTATTATGTTTTTCGTTGTAGAACGAACCTTATTTTTATACGAAATGAGCGGAAAAATATAAGAACGAAAATTGTTGCATATATTGTGAAAAATTTGCTGTGACAATACTTTGTATAGCAGTGTATATATAATTAAAAAAAAAATGGACTTTCGGTCGAAACCGGAAGTCGGTAATACCGCTAAAAGGCAGAACATCATTGATTTGGTAGGTAAAATTTTTGCGTTTTTCAATAAAACGAATATTTCCTTCCATTTTAGAGTGGGCGGTCTAGGACAAAGCTTCCTAAAGTAGGTCCGCGGAATCGAAGGGTTCCGTAGAAAAGTCACCAGGGTTCCGTGAAATGATGAAGTGTTAATTAACACAGGTCCACAAAAAAAATCGATGAAAGGTTCCTTTGACCAAACCTAGTATGTATCACGTCTAGATTTTTTTCGAACCTGAGAAAAACACCTCGGACTTTCTCTGTCACGTAAAATCCGAGATGTTTTTTGAGGTTCGGAAAAAATCTAGACGTGATGGAGCAAAACGGACTTCAGATTCGTGTTCAGCGACCCCAAAAACATGGCATAGACTAGGTTTGGTCAAAGGAACCTTTCATGGATTTTTTTTGTGGACCTGTGTTATTAAAGGTTTTGTTAGTAGCTTTTTTCAAAAATTTGACACTCCCACCCACAGGGATGGTTTATGGAAGCAGGAGAAAAAGGAGAAGGATTCAATTACACTTCCTAAAATGGGAGCTAAATTCCATAAAAAGGTGTTGATAATAGTGAATGGTGGTATTTTAAAACAAAAACGAATTTGATTTAATTATTTAATTTAAACAAGCTTATTTGCATCGAATATAACCCCCGATTTTTATTAAAAATAAATAATATAATAATAGATAGAATAAAAGAAGTATCACTGTTTTTGTTTTTAGGAGTAGCGTGGGAGTGTCATTGATAAAGTTAGAGCGAGAAAAAGTTTTTCTTACAAAACCTTTGATTATTGAATCATTTCATTCAGCCCATAACTCGAGTCCAGCGCCGCTCTTCATTTGAAACGATCGTTAAGTAGTGGTTGGTGGTGTGAGGGTGAGTTTCGTTTGTTTACGTGATGAGCGGGTAAACGCTAGTGAAAGACGCATATTTTCTTAGTATATGCATTCAACTAGTTTCAACTTAACAGCGACGCTAGACTCGAGTTAGTTCATCAGTTGATTCTTGCAGCTCTTTAATACACCAGATTTTAGCTTCAGGCGCTAAACGGTTAAGTATATGTATATCAAGCAAATTGATGGGCCTTTTACAAGTACTGCTAAAAGTCCTATTAGCAACCTAGAAATAATTTTGAATTCTTCCAGTGACAGCGAAGACTCGGATGTAGAATCTGGAGACATTAAAAAATTTGAAATTTAAGCTCAATTGAAGGTCTATGTTACAGAAAAACGAGCTTATCGCGGTGAAAATCCTCTCGATTGGTGAAAAACTAAACTAAAATACGACAAATTGACATATTTCGTCCGCAAATATTTGAGCGCTTGTTCTGTATACTAGCCTCTAAGAAATCGTCTCATGGGAGAAAAGGCAGGAAAATTACTTTCTTTGAAATATAATATGCCCCTTTTGCACTTTGACTACTAGATTGAAACACTGTATAGGTTGAGCACTCGTTTAATGTTCTAATAATTTAAAAAAATTCAAGTAATTAAAACGCTAACTTAAGTTGATTATAGGTTGTATAATGTAATTCCTAACATTCGCATTCGCATTCGGTACCCAAATTTACTGAGTTGCATACCCTTTAATTTTAAAGTCCTCGGGAGATCCTTTGAAGGACTATGAAACTGAACAATAATGCTCTCTAATCGGCTTCGGGGAGAGCGATTGTGTCCTTAGGGCAATTTAACGATTTTTTTTATATTTGTTATTTATTTAATTGAAATTGAAAAAGCATTAAAAACTTTAGTAACGAAAATTTTTGCACAATTCGCAGTCATTCCCAATAAAGAGCCGGTCTAAAAGGGCGAAGTGCATATCCGAACTCGTCGACCTGAATATGTTCTAGTAAAACGAATTTTATTCTTGTCTTTTTCGGAAAAAAATTTTTGTGGACTTATGGTAACTGAACATAACTAAATATTTCACAAAAATGATCCTAAGATAAGTATAATTAGAAATTTGTATGCTATAAATCCTTAATTATGATTAAGTTTCATGTTTTATTTAATTACTGAGTAGAAATACACTCAAAATAATTTTGATCGGTTTTACTATACAAATACTCTTCTGTGCGGCGGGCCGTTATGAAAATTACTACGAGACTAAAATGTATTCACAAAACCCTTCTCAACCTGTCAACCAGTTACTTTACGTATTTACAAAAGCGGGACGTTCCCGTAACAGCCCCGTAAACTTAGGAGTTTTACACAGTTTAAGACTACGAGTTTAAGGGAATCCTCGAATTGAAAATGTGCTGAGACAGGGCGTTTTTGAATCGGCGAACACTCTTATTAGTTGCTTTCCTTATCTCCAAGAAATAGTCAGATTTAGTCCGAAGAGCGTTTCTTAACTTGAAAATGACAGCAGAAATGAGGGAGCAACTGTTACTTTCTTCAGTCAGAAGTTACAAGACTTAAGGCTCTGTTATGCATACTTGGCAGCATGATAAAAATATAGCAAGGTAGAACCGTCGGCCATGATTTTTTTTTGAAGTTTGCCAACATTTTAAAATCATATAAAAGTGAAAATAAAAAAATGAAATTGTTCGAAATGTTGTTGCTTGAGATTGAAAATGAAAATGTGTGTGTGAGTTTGTGAGTAAAGTTAAAAATTAAATTATTTGGAAACGTCAAGAATTTTAAAAGGGACTCTCAGCGGTTCTACCTTACTATATTTTTATCATGCTTGGCAGTGCATGCACGGCTATAACATTTTTATGTAGAAATCAAAAACCAACAGACTTCTACGTATGTAATGCTGTGCGTTGGGTAACCGTTTACACACGAAGCTCATTTAACAGATTCCTTATTTGACAACTGTCAAGCAATGCCAAGTATGCATAACAGAGCCTTTAGTCCAGTGATTCCCAAAGTTGTCAAGGTGGACCCCCTGGGGTCCACGGGAGACTCGACGGGGGTCTACGTTGGCGTGGAAAAAATATGGGGGTCCACGCGTTGCATGTGGAGGTCCACGAACATTTTTCTGGTTTCGATAGTAAAGAACAAAAATGTTTGCTTGATAGTCTCTTTATTTACCTCTAATTTTTTTGAGTGGTGTATAGTGCTCTTGACCCACTGCTGCACTTACCGTCACTTTGTGTTTTCACACGTAGGAAGGCCTTAAAGGCCACCTGCATACTAAAAAGAACCGGATGTTGGTATAACACTGAGTGGGGCGCGACGGAAATTGCTGGCGGATAGTACGCCACCATTACCTTTGTTGAAGAGATCTGAGCCCGCACTCGCACATTGTCGATGATGGCTCCAAAACTGACTCTGGGTCATGATCTTGGGTATTTTTCGAAATTAATGGGGATAAGCTTTATTTTTTCCTTTGGGGAATATGTTTCGGTCTTCCAGGCTGAGGTAATTGCAAATCGTCAAAGTCATGGACTAGGAGAAGGACCATAGGTTGAGGGGAAGTAGTTTACGTATCTGCAGTGACAACCAAGCTGCACTTAAGGCATTGACCAGCCCTCTAACTACATCCAAACTAGTTGGGCAATGCATGTGTCGACTAAATTATGGTGGTAAACATAACAAGCTTGCTTTACTCTGGGTGCCAGGTCACTCAGGAATACCTGGTAATGAGACATCTGGCCATTTTCCCAATTTTAGCACACCCACTTTCGGCCATGGTGCAACCATCAGAAACTGGGTGGATACTTCGCTCGTCAATGACTGGAAGCCATCGAGTGGTTTTCGCCTCATTTTAAAACTCCGAGAGATCAAAATAAAAATGACGCCATCAACACAAATAAAATACTTATTCTGCAAATACTCCACGTACAAAGTCATGAGTGAGCCGAACATTTGATGATTTTATGGTGAAGATAATGTAAATAACGCTAGGGCTCGAAGTGCTTTTAAAAATATATAACTCCGCAAGCTACAATTTTGATGGATTAAAGAGCTCTATTTTTTAAAACCTGCAAGTGTGTAATCACATTATTTTAATAAATAGAAATAAAAAATAATAGAAAAAAAATATTTTAGTTTCATTTTGGCCACTCCGAGTTTAGTTTTTGAATTCACCCGCGATGCAAATTTACATAGTTAGATCTAACCTTCACATTTCATTTTTTACAAGCTTTGGGAATATTTAGAAATGTATCAGTAGATCATATTGAATATAAGCCGTAGATATGTGTACAGATATAAACATTTTTATGCAGCTCTTTCGAGCTGTGATTTATTAAATTTTGTTTACGCTAGTTAACATGTATGCATGTACATAAAATCGAAATGTATCGAGCCCTTACGTTTACATTTTTTTTGCGGTTAGGGCTAGGTATGTTTTTTAAGAAAAACTACACTAACCGCCAATTTCACGAAAGCAATTTAAGTGAAAAATGTTTTTAATTTTTTGATTTTTATGTGGAAATTTACAGAAAATTTCTATTTCATTTTCTATTTAAATTGTTGGTGAAACCGGCTGTAAATTATTATTTTTATAGAAGTAATTGTAAACATATGTTAATTGTAAAAAAGAACATATCTATAAAATTTCATATTAGATGTTTCAGTACTGGTTAATGGTTGGCAGTATTTAAAACGTTATACCAAAACTTGTTCATCCACAGCAGCTTCCACAAGGCATATCCATTGAAGTGTTATTGATGCGACCAATGCGACGATTTGGGCCGAATCCACCACCGCCACCTCCACTACCACCTCCGCCACCGCCACCGCCACCACCGCCTCCGCCTCCGCCTCCACCCCCACCGCTTCCGCCACCCCAACCGCTCCCTCGGCTATTGCCTCCACTGCTCCTATTGTTGTCCTTCATGAAAGGCGCCAAAAGTCCTCTGAAACTATTTAAAAAATCAGAAGAATCAATAATTTTCCAGACGAAGATTTGAACATAGTAATTAATATTAAATTCCTTACAAAGTAATCATCACGAACCACAGGCCTGTGAAGATCTCTAAAACTCGAGACACGCTCCAAGGGCGTCGTTCCAATACACGTCCATCTGTTGGTTAAAATAAATTTAATTTAATTTTTAGCTTGAATAAAATATGTACATACATATGGTTGTATGTGAACAAAACATTTGGCTAGAAATGATTAGATTAACAACGGTCATAAATGATAATCGTAAGCGGAAGGTTGTGTCTTTCCACAACGTTTAGTAAATTTAAAACGCAAAAATACTATATTTCTTCAATTATAAATATAAATATATTTTAGTAATTTGCACGAAGAAAATGTGTATTAAAATGGATGACCTTTATACTGAAATAAATATATTAAATCATATATTTTTAAAGTAAAAGGTCATTGTGAGTTTATAATAAAAAAAGGTAACATATTTTTAAAAACACTGACAAAGAATTAACAAATTAACTTAAAATTATTTCATTTCTACGCTCTATTCCAACAACTTCGGCATTCACAGGAAGTACTTTTTCAATCACTTAAAAGTCGTTTTTACTTATTCTTTTAAATAAAATACTATATATATTTGAAGTGTACTATATTTTGTCAATTTAGCTATAAGCTAAAAAATTACCTTCCCCCCTTAAAATGACCCTTTTTTGACCTGAAACTAGTAGGCGAGAATGTTTTAAAACTTTTATAGGCGACATACACCATGCGTCTAACTCGTGAGTCGGTTTGGATGTGTTTGAGAAAATAAATATGTGTTAGTTACACCGACATGACTCTGAATGACTCAACTGTGTGTGGTCGAAAGGCGAGTCAACACGTACACAAATGACTCACGAGTCAGACGCACCGTGTATGCCACCTACTAAACACACATTTTTGAGGGCCTCGCGTCAAGGAATCCATTTCCGAAAAACGAGTTTAACTTTCTCTAATTCCATTTTATGCACGGTAGGCACGACTACACATACATACTTACACCCCGAATCGCGATCAGTCTCCCAAGGCATAAGAAGATACTTTAATGGAATCCAAAGCGAAATCAAGGTGATAACCGTCTTCATGAACCGGAATGGAATATTGATAGCTGAGATCCAAGAGCAGAAGCTGCACAGCAATGCGATCGGGAGCGAAATAATGGTGGAAGTTTGGCATTAATCACGCAACACACAGTGCAAATTCCGCAAGTTTGTCAATGCTGATACAGCCCGTTTAATTCCTGTTGGATACATCGCGGAAACCTGCCCAAAATTCCCTGCCAAAGCGGCTGTTTTAGAGAACGAGTGCGATCGCCTGGTAGATCCTGGGAATCCCCGTATCGGGGATTAAAATGCGGGAATTCGGCAACTGGTAAACCAACATAATCGGCAAAAGTGGTAGGAGCACCTGAATACTTGCAATTTCAGCTCTGGTGTCAGCAAGCTTTGGTCAACCGTAAGATAACTGTCCAACCCAAGGCGAATTTATATAAGGTACTATCGATTCAATAAATACAACAATTACTTGTATTTTGGTTTTTTCTTTTAGCGGGCCATTGTCAAGTTTCAGCTATTCTTCCCCAAAGGAATAAGGGCGACGGAAAATACAAACTCTCTCACGTTTTCCCTCACTCACAAACGAACTACAAAATTTTGACGATTGAACTCTACTCACAGCTGATGAAACAACATCACATCATATGAATTCGCCTTGGTCTTACCCGAGAAAACGCAACGATATAGAGTTTCATTCAACCACCGCGCTTCTTCGCAACCGGAGCGATGTGCGAGCTATTTTAGCCGGCAATTCACGTGGCATCCTACGTTGGACAGAGCCAAGCGGGGAGTGATCAGAAGGCTGTGTAAACTGCCAAAACCAAGAGTGCCTCTTGTTTTCACCAGCGGTGATGTCCAGGTGGCCATCGGAAGGCAAAAGCGTGCAAACTAATCGTCCGCAGCGGATATTGCATGCTGATGCTAAAAAATGAGGTCCAGTCGGAGTAGGCTACCTCACCATGTCATGAGAATAACCTCATTCTTCCCGATGTGTAGAAGTCAGGGAGTGTGGTCCCACTGATAAAACCATGGAAACCTGCCAACAAAGGGGAGTCTTATCACCCGATAACTCCACCTTCCCCGGTAGCGAATACATTAGAGGCCTTATGTCCATGCATATTCTAATATTTTATTTAGCTTATAAATTTATTTGAATTAAATTAAAATAAACAGACTTACAACTTCAAGTGTGGAGCGAAAATCACAATTATCGCGAATCTATAATGATCTTAGCGAAATGGCCAACTCTAGGCAAGAAATCATCAATGCTTTAACATCAATGTGCTACCCAATCCAGTGCAGGTCCCCAGATTATACAACACATGGGTTTGAGGAGCATAAGGCTTCATTAAAATTAGTGTTACAGCGACTGTCAAGGCGAGTATTGAAACTGAATTTGGATAAATCAAAGTTTGGGTATGAAGAAGTGGATTGTTTGGGATATCAAGCGAGTCAAGCGGGAATCCGACCATACGGTTCCAACAGAAGTAATCGCAACTTCCCAATACTAACTAACCAAAAGCAGTTGCAGTCCTGCATCGGATTTTTTTCGTATTTTCGGCTCTTCTTGCCATCATTTTCCCAAATAGCCAAGCCCTTGCAAAACTTATTGAAGAAACAGACCACCTTTGACTTTATTGACGTGTGTCTTAATGCTTTTAACTCTCTAGCAATGACCCTCGATAGAAAGCAAATAAATCCTAGAATAGCTAGGTGGGCTCTGGAGCTGGAAAATTATAACTTAAAGATGGAACACAGGAAAGTATCGTCCATGGGCCATGAAGACGCATAGAGTAGAGCACTCATCGCGCTAGTAGTTATTTTGATACTATTAGTTCCATACGAAACCGTCTGGAGACTGGATTTATTAAAGACTTTGACTTGATGGATGGCTTGGTCTATGAATGTAGGTCGGATGGCAGGACGGTGCTATATGTGCCCGGTGAGATGGAGTCCATCGAAATACGACTGAGACTCGAAAAGATTGGCCACCAATCTGTTAACAAGACCGTTAGTAAACTAGGTTACTGGTTTCCAAACATGAGAGCGAAGGCGACGCCCCCTAAGGCAAGGGAAAGGAATCTGTATATTAACCCTAAGACCCCACTGCCGTTCGACATCCTCCGCATTGACCACTTCGGTCCACTACCGTCGCTCAACACAAAGAGGAAACATATTATTGTTGTGATTGATGCTTTCCTGACTCAAGGACTTTCGAAACTACACAAAAAAAAATAAATAAAGAAATGCTAAAGTAAAATTTATTAAGCCAATTTTTTTTTAAATATTGCGCTTTCTACTACGGTTTTGTAAAGTTTTTGTGAACAAAGAGCACAAGGCAATATATGTTTTCAACAGAAATATATGCCAATTGACAATTGTAAAACTTTTGAAAAGGCTGTATAAAAGAAAAATAAAAATGTCGCGACTAACTGCGGAACAAGTTGCAGACTTTCTAAACAAGAACAATGAACAAAGTGATGGTGGTGAGTTATTTAGTGAAAGTGATACAGAAAACACAGAGAAACGACTGGCGTGCTTGGTTGCACTCGGCCCAAATTGCTTAGGCGGTTATAGAGCCAAAAAGAGGAAGCGAAGAACAGAATATGAACCTGAAGAAGATAATTTTACTGCTGCACTCACCGAGCCTTCTGAAAGCGACAGTCATGAAATATCAAAGGAGGAGGAATCTGCTGATTTGTTGATATCAAAAGATGGGACGTCTTAGGGTACAGCACTCCTAATTGAAGGTAAAGCATTCGTAATTATTTTTATATTTGAATTGTTCACATCCAGAAGTATACTTGTGCGTATATAGCTGGAAGAGCATGGAGTTGCAACGTGAGCCAACGACCAGGAGTTACAAGATATGCAGGTGCTCATGTGGATTCAATAAAGGACAAATTTGTACTGTTATTTCTTGCTCCAATTAAAAATATAATTTAGAAGAACACGAACGCTTAAAGCAAATATCTATTTGGTCAAAACCACCGACCTGTTGCATGCTTATTTGGGGTTTGCTTTTCGTGGGAGATTATAGGTATGATATGTTTAACCATTATTTTTCAAAAAATTAGATCTTGAAGACCTTCTCTGTTCATCTTATGAAAGACCATTATTTCAATCTTTAATGTTTAAGACAATTGTGGCAACTATGAAAATTTTACGAAATACGCAAGTTGTGGATAAGTGGTTGGAGCTGCCGTCAATGCCTAGCGGGTGCATTATTATCGGTAGGTATGGAACATGCAACCGAACTTGGGCAAACTACAGGGAAACCAAACCGAGAAAAATAGAGTACAGCGCGTAGTACCTCATCTTATAACCGTTTTGAAAGGCCATAATGTGACTATCGAAAATTTGTTTACCTCTTTCGAGCTTGGCCATAAACTTCCTGAAAAAAATAAACAATAGTAGGGAAAAATACGTAAGAAACATCTTAGTATTCCCGCAAAACTTTTGGAATGCAAAAAGCTTCCCGTTTATACATCGAATTTCGCTTTCACGCAAAATACTACGTAAGGTTGCAGACAGAGTGGAAGCGAAGTCGAAGACGAAAAACAGTGAAGTAGTAAACATATGAAAGTAATTACAGTGCAAGCAAAAACTAATATGAAGACGTTGCCAGCCTAATCTCTTTTTCTCGGCCCTTGCCCCAAGTGCTGCCGGCTAGCGATTTGACGACTTGGTTGCAACTCTATACTTAATTGGAAATTACGGTTGTGTGTGCCGAGAACAAGTGGGCAGGCTACATGCTACCAAATGTTTCCAGTAAAGAAGTACAACATCATGCTCAGCAAGCAGTTCCTAGTAGAGTGCTAAGCACGTGGTCACTCAAATAGGCACATGCTTGAGGCGGAGTCTGCACCCAGGAATATCAGAAGATATCTATACGAAATCAAGGACGAGGGCCAATAATACGTACAACAACATTGTAGCCAACTCATTTTTGAGAATTCCCCGATTTTACCAGAAATTTCGTAAAATTCCTCAACCATAGATATCTCCTGGCATATCTGGTATTTCGGTTTATTTTATTTTTAAATATGTATAATTCA